TATTTTAAGCTAGTATTCTTCTCTTGCCTTTGAAGATATTAGTTATTTAATGTCACTCTCCTGACTAAAGGTCTAAAGGTTCAAAGGCTTTATTGTCATATGCACAGTAGCCACATTGTAGTTATGGCAATACAAATCTTAAGACCCAGGCTACTCCAACAATGCAATATAAATATATATAAGTCATAAAACATCAATAAAACGACAATAAAAATAGTGCAAGAAGAAACAAGTGGAAATGAAATAGTGCAAGAGAATGTTGCAAGACTAAGTGAACTATATACAAGTAAAATAGAATTAAAAATAAATGTTATACTCATACTTTTTTGCCTATAGTAATTAAAGTACACATATCCTAACATGTTATTATTTGTGATGTGTGTGCAGGACTACCACTGGTGGTGGCGTTCCTTCCTCACCAGCGGCTTCACAGCAGTCTATCTCTTCATCTACTCTGTGCATTACTTCTTCTCAAAGCTACAAATTGTCGGCGCTGCCAGCACCTTCCTCTACTTCGGATACACGTTGATTATGGTCCTCATCTTCTTCCTCTTCACAGGTGAGGCTTTGAGATAAGTGATATATGTGCTTTTTATTCACTCAAGATTATTTCCAGCTTGTCTTGACACCCTGCAATCATTCCTAGATAACATATAAATAATTGGCTTCTTTAGTTACGGAGCTCATTATTTATAAAAGACAAATCATCTATATACACTTTTGCATATTTAGTTTCACTCCAATCTTTATTTTGTATGACTTGTGAGCTCCAACAGTTTATTGCATGGCAGAAAGAGGTGTGTGGTTACGGTTAGTCGTTTTCCTTGTTTGCCAGTTGAGCTGCTGTGTGACAATTCAGGACTTCCATCCTGCTCCAATGAAAATAAAACCCACGGTGCAACATTTACTGTCCTTGTCATTTAATTAAAGCCACGCCTTGTTCTTTTGAATTCTATACAGGCAGTGCAGACTAGGCACTGTGTCATGGATTTTAACCCTTAGATGCATAAGTGGGTCTTTTTTGACCCGGTGAGGTGGTTTTCTTAGAGTATCTTTGTAGTTACATTTTTTTTTTTATCATTTCATATTCCAGCTATTCCTCAAAAAACATGTTTTGGATATCATGCCATTCAAATTTTTTATTTGCATTTGATACATTTTAAGAAATTGTAGTTTTTGTATTACTACCCCAAGCTTCCATAAGTGGGTCAAAAATGACCCGCATGCATTTTCTATGGGATCCTCTGGGAACCTTTGATTCTTATCACCTGTGGCTGTCAGGAATACATTCAGTGTAGACCACACAGACTACATCACAAGTGACACCTCAGGAAGATTATTTTACACAGCAAGATCTGATACCTGTCAGTATAATAATAATAATAATAATAATAATAATACATTATATTTGTATAGGGCTTTTCAAGGACTCAAAATCGCTTTACAATATAAGGGAAGGTTAGGGTGGGGGGTATAGGACTATCAAACTTGATCAACCGGCATGGATTGATGGGCTATGAGTAGACAAGAGGAGAAGAGATGAGTTTTGAAAAGGGACTGGAATACTGTGAGGGTCTCAGAATAGCGGAGATCTTTGCATCAATATGTTCAAAACGTTTTTTGTTTTTTTAATTATAAATAGTGAAAAATTCAATATAAAATATTTCTTGTGTGAACCAAAATATAATACTATATATACAAGTGATTTTTCTTAACCAAAATGACAAAAATTGCATTAAAACACATATTCTAATACGGGTCTTTTTTTTGACCCACTTATGGAAGAGTGTAGGGTCCAGTCACTCGTGCATCTAAGGGTTAAGAACACTTATCTCCAAGAGTCCCTTTTTGTTTAAAGGTGAATGAAAATCACAGACTCTATTGGATATTTGAGTAGAATGTTCAAAGTCCCTCTACGTCAGATCTACTTTTGTCGATTTATTTGGGTCACCTCAACTGTCTGTGGATGGCAGAGCCTAGTTTAATCGACGAGCTTCTCTTTTTTTTCAGTAGATCAAAAAGAAACAGTCACCACTTTCACTTATTGCCATGGCTGATAATAAGCCTATATGCACTCAGGATTCCTGACCATTGCTGAATTTCTCTATGCCTGCACATAAGCTCCAGCCAGCCGTGTGACTAAGGTTGTGCAGATTTATGTACCACACCATTACCACAAGGATAGGATGAACACAACATTATTGCTGCTTTTGTTTCCATGTTGAAGGAGACAAAGATTGACGCATGTTGACATGGCAACCGCATTCTACGGCCCTGTCCAGCTCTCTTGCACACCCACTCAGATGACAATAGGGGTGTGTGCAGGAAAAGGATAATATATGGGACTAGATAACAGCGTCATTTTTCTGTCAACCAGAAATATACTGCTCACCATGATGCCAGATTATAACTTTTTTCTTTTTTGGTGTTAAACTGTCATTAGGCCAGATAAGAAGTTAGCCTGTAGCCCTGCTCGTCACGGCAGTGCGGCTTGACACTATCTTAACACAGAGCTGTAAGTAGCAAGGGGACGAGATGTCAAAAGATTATCACTAAGAAATAATCCAAGGATTCAAGGAAAAGATTATCAGTTTCCCTCCTTGCTTTCAATTGATCTAAATAATCCTAATCTCTCTCGTACCCCATCTTTACATTTTTAACCTCATCTCAACTTTGATTCAAACTTATTCAGGATTGAACTGAGGCCCTGTTGAGCAGTCAGTTAGGACTTTTATACTCACTTGAATGTATCCAGGATTTTGACCAATTCTCAACATTGGGGGAGAAAATGGTCTGACAGAATTGGTTTGCTACGAAATCAAGCTAGCTGTAAAACACTTTTTATTTTTCTGTGTCTTCTTCTTGCAAACATTCATTTAAAACCTTTGTTGCCTGCATTCATTCAGATTCCCAAAGTCAGCTGTTCTCCCTTGGACATTTGTTTTAGTTGATTTGAATCTTTTTTCAGACATTGATCAAATCCTCCTCTAACCTGCCTTTTCTTCTCAGGTACAATTGGCTTCTTCGCCTGCTTCTGGTTTGTAAATAAGATCTACAGTGTGGTCAAGGTGGACTAGAGGACCGAGGGACAGACTGACTCCTTCCTTCCTGTCGCAGTGCCGGCCTCCTCCGAGCCGGCTGGGTTATAGAGTGGGCTCAATGGTCCTGAACTGAAACCATCACTGATCATAAAAAAGACCTGAAGAGCAGAGCCCGTCCTCTTTTGTGCTTTAAACCTATGTTGCTATTGTCTTTTATTTTTAAATATATATATATATATATATATAATTTTGTCTTCACTGTTGACCAGTAATGTTTGAGTGGCACCCTGAGAATCAGTGTGGGTTCCAATGATCTATCTAGCTGTCAGTGAAGCGTTTGTTTTGGTGGGCGAAAAATCTCAAACAATATAATTTTAATTTTCTAAAGAAAGTAAAATGTTCTGTGTTTTTTGCTTTTCTATTCCCTTATGGCTAAATGGTTTGTTTTTCATTACCTGTATTGTAATGATAAACATGTGTGTGTACATATAATGTATAGAGAGAGTGAGCAAGAGAATGCTACTTAAAGATTGTCACCATAATTGGATCATTTGTAGAAGTTTCTTTTATTTTCTTTTTTTAAGGTAAAGATGGGGCTATAAATACTTTAAATATCAGCCTGTATTGTAGTTCAGAACTTATATAAAAAACTGACATTAATATGATACATGTCCATTCTCTTGTTTTTTGGTGGCTAGATTTAGTTTTGCATTGAATCAAACGGTACACTTGGTTGAGAAGCACATCTGTATCATAGAAGGTTATGCTACAGTGTGTTGAACTTGAAGGATCATCTCTCACCAATATTCCTGACTTGTTCAGCCACTGGAGAGATTCTAATGCAGTCATCATAACGCAGATCATAATTTGACTGATTAAGAACATATGTACCGTTGAGATGCACACTTGTAGATTTTTAAAAGCAGTTTGCTGAACAGTTACTTCATAAAACACTGCTGCCTTTTGCTTTGCACAGTGTGGAGTCATCACCCAAGGTGATAACGCTTTTTCCAAATAAATGCAATTAATTAAAAAATAAAGGCCACATGTTTTTTTCTTTGAGCCACTAAAATGCATACATTACACACAAATAACCACGTAATTTTTTGTCCGGACACGAGTATTGGATTCATTGTTCAGTAGATTATAGTCTTTACATCTGTGTGGTTATAAAAGGTCACAAACAAGCATTGGCACATTCAACATCTTATTGTTTACACTTCAACATTATGCACAAAAACTACTAATTCAAGGGGACCTATCATGCAAAAAGCATTTTTGTACGTCTTTTATACATGAATATGTGTCCCCGGTGTTCCAGGGAACTCACCAAGTGTCAGAAAACGCAACCCTCTCTATTTTCCTCCATACCCAAATCTCTAAAAAAGGGGCTGCAACGGATCTGATCAAAACTGATCCAGATTTGAACACTGTCCTGATGTCAGGACAGTGGCGCTACGGCTATTGGGCCAACTCCACCAATCAGGAGGAGACAGCCACGGCCATTGCCGTTCGAAAGCGCTGGAGACGCTGTAGTACATATGCCAGGCCTGTAGATGGTGCTGTTCTCACTGAATCTGCCCTTGCTAAAACAGATCTAAAAAATGTCAAATTGAGCAAAATGAGGCATGGCTAAAATGCATGATCTGTTTGGTATTTTGAAAAAAAAAAAGTATAAATATGCCTTATATAGGTATGGTCCTACACTATATTATTCAAATATAGCATGATAGGTCCACTTTAAGGAACCTTTGGTCAAACTCAAATGTCCTGTTTGCTTTAGTTAAGTTGAGGATCAAAAACTGTCCAAACATCATCCTATTTAGATTTCTTAAGCATATGTTGATAGGGGGAATATTCATATGAAAAACAGATGTATCAAATGAAATATAAAGCTTTACACATGTTACAATAAGTTCACCTTTATTTAACAGACGACTTCTGATGTTGAATAAAGAAACCAGAAATAATACAAAAGCACAATAGAAATCACAAAAATATGTAGTTTTAAAGCACTTATAAACATTACTTTCTCTTATTTGACATTTACTTTATTACATCCTTTATCCCTTTGTTTAAAGAGCAACACTAACAAACTTACACAAGTTTGATTGTCATGTATAATACTGTGGTATGGGTTTCTACAGTGACCTTTTTAATAAACCAAGGCTAATATCTAAGCCAGTCAAATCAGGTCCTATAACTTGTCAATTGATTCCCACAAAACTATTACAATCCAGTTATAACAACACAACAGGTGCACCAGCTCATATGGCTAAATGTTTTTTTTCTTCCCAAAAGGTTACAAAGACTGGACACATTTGGGACTTAACATACATTTTAAATAATGCACATAATGTAGTAATGCACCTATGACATCCTTTGGCAACACATCACCTACGCAGTTGGATTGCCTTTTTCTGAGATGAGTCATTGCAATCATATAACACTTGTATCAGAACTCATACTCTTTAAGCACACACGGTTTTTTCATTTCAAATACTATATCAGGAGGTATCTTTACAAATGTACATGTATTCAGTGGAATGTAAGAAATCTGTTACATAAGATATTGCGGCATGCAGCCTATGTTAAACCACTGGTTTAACAAGTACACTAGACTAATGTTTGTATCATACCCTGCACTCTATGCTCTGCATTTTATCAACACAAATATTGTGCTTTCTCAGAGAAAGGCCGACAATACGTAAGGCAACAAATACCGAGTCATATATACAGTGGTCCACTGCAGTGACACTCAGAATTTCCACCTTGATCGAGCTAGAATTGAAGGAAACAAAGAAGCTAAGATAACATTTCAGTTGCAACTCTTTGTTTGTTCTGTAATTGGCAAGCAATACATAACTACTGCACTCATTTACTTAAAAGGCGCTTAGAAACCAAGTCATTGCTACCAGGACGAAAACACACGTAAGTTAACTTGCTCTACAAGATTCAAAAACAGAGATGGGCACTACACATTGTTCCACAAGCATACCCTGAGTTCATTAGTTGCAGTTGAAGCTTGCTTGCACTAACACAAGTACAGTCAGTCCTGTGCCCTTAGGAAGGATCACAGAGAATACAACATACAACGTTTAAAGGATATATACTAGTTGTGCAGATACTGCAGAACAGTGCCTTGTCAATACATCTAAGCTCCATGATTAGCGCCAATTGGTCAGAACACCAGACACTTTGATCCTACATAATATTGATCTCAACATGGCAAGTTTAGTTCAAATACTACAAAAGAAATTACAGACGCAAAGCCAAAAATGTAAACTACAAAACTGAATTTGGTTCCATGATTCTTTTTTAAATGTGGTTTAAATGCCCGTTTAATTTAACGGCAACTAGTACAATAATTGCTTACAGAATGAAACAAAAATGAATATATCACAGCTGCACACATTGTGACTTATCTGAAATGTGGTACCTTTGCATTTACACATTGAACCCAACAAATTATGAATTTTTTCGAAATGTGACGTTTGAAGTAATATTCAGTGTTTAGACCAGTCTATTATACATTCATAATGCAACAATGAGTGGATCAATCCAATAGAGATATAGTCGACCTTAATTTCATCATTTAATCAGGCTTTCAACAAAATAAAGAAAGGTTCATTATGTTGATGACCAACCAGGTAACACAACGATTCCTAATGCCAGTATCTTCAGAATGAATTACCCTGTTGTCAAGAAGGCATATTAGCTTATATTTGCACACACTAGGATGTCAATGTCTTTCCGATGAATCCTCAAGGCAGTTTATGTGCTTTGTTTGCTGTGGACTGTGAGCTCCCTCTCAGAGCTGACGCTGGTACAGGTGGTCTCTCTGCGGCTGTCCCTTGACTTCCTCTCAAACGTGGGGGAGGAGGATGTGGTGCACTCTTCCCAGGTACGCAGAGGGAAGACCCGAGCAGTCAGGCTGGGCAGGTGATGGTGGGCACCAAAACGTCCCTCTGTAGCTGTGAGACAGCTCTCCACGGCAGAGCTCTGTCTGGGATGGCCCTTTTTGCAGAACAGACCGCAGAGCAACGCGAGAAATTCCTTCCTCACACTGCGATGCATGTATCCGTAAATGTAGGGGTGGAGGCAACACTGCAAAAAGAAGAGCACAAGGGCCAGGGAGGATAGCCAGGGAGGTACAGCTGCTTTGGCATTCATAGATATAGTATTTAGTATACTGTAAGGCCCCATGCTGAGGATATAGGAGGCCATGATCACAAAAACTACACGAGCTGCCTTGCAATGGTAGTGGAAGCGTCTGTGCCTAACTCGAACAGGGTACTCCCGGGCTGTGTCGGGGCCATCAGGGGAGCCGGCCTGCTGGGGCTGGGCCTGCCGCTGTGGACTGCTCGGTCCTTGGGAGTCCTGTGGGCAGGGCTGAGAGTAGGATTGTGTCTGTATGGGGTGCACAAGAGCATTTTGCCTCCGGGCCGCTCTGAACACCATCCAATAACATCCAAGCATGATGAGCACTGGCAGCCAGAAAGAGAAGGTGGACACCACAGCTGAGTAGGACAGGCTAGAGGACCACACCACTGAGCACACGTTGTGATGGCGGTCAAAGTCAATGGCCCCCCAGCCATAGAGGGGAGGCGTGCTCTGCAGGAAGCTGAGCACCCAGGTGCAGATGATTAGGTTGGTGCCCAGGTGAGGGGTCATGCGGGTGGGATAGGACAGAGGGTGGATGATGGCCAGGTAGCGATCCACAGAGACGACAATAATGGTGTTAACTCCAGCAAATGCGAAAAGATGCATGAGCACCACAAGAGCCTGGCACAGTCGGGCATCCAGGGGCCACACACCCGGCACAGTGGCTGCAATGGCAAAGGGCATGACTAATATGGTCTGGAGGAGGTCTGCCAAGAGGAGGTTGAGGACGAAGCGGTTGGCCACGTGAAGGAGTTGAGGCTTCCTCTGGAACACCAGCAGAACCACCACATTCCCAAACAAGGACACACACACAATGAGAGATATGAACACCATCTTCATCACGCTGTTAAATGTGGAGGACCAGACCAGGTTTTGCCTGGAAGCGATGAAACCAGGGTCCCAGGGAAAATCTGTGAAATTTGTGCCCACATCGGGGGCCTGAGAGCTCGACATTGTTTGCATGTATAGTCTCACATCCAGCAGAGTGTTGACATACTGTCAGGTTAGTCCCATTCTGACTAACAGTATGTCAGGATAGATAACACTGTTTGCTTTCAACAATTTGTTTGCTTTCACCTGTTATAACAGCTCCTCCTTATTCAGTGGAATTCATGGGGGGAACATTCAACATATTCTCATTTGCATATCGTATAGTCTACGTGGATAACATCCATTATTACCTGTGTAAACAGTCCAGCAAACTCCATGAGAAGCCTGTAATGCAAGCGATTATCAACACTGATTTGCTGTTCATCGTGATCAGTGATTAATCCCTTTATTCACAAAACAGGCCCTTTTCTTCTTGCAGACCACATCTGCAGAGTGAAAAATGGAATTTGCCTAGCGACCATAAATCCCACCGTTCAACCTGTCAGCATCGAGTATCGACTGACAATGTCCAGAGTAGACAGTGGCGAAAATCACGGATAGGTAATCTGTAAATGATGTTTGATACCTTGGTATGATCACTGATGCGATGATAGGTGCTCGGTTTTCATCGTTTTGCTTCCATTTCAGCCTCAGCTCCAGTCAATGGCAGCGAGCTTTCACGGCTCAGCTAACATACGCTGCGTGTCTTCACCCAGCGGGGGTCTCTCATCCAGATATCTCTCCTTCGCTGCTCCTTTCGGATTTCATGGCAGATCAAACATTTATTATTTTTTATCAGCTTTGATTCCTCCGCAACAGTTTTAGGCTACTTACGTTCGGGTCCTGTCTCCGAGGTGTCAGAAAAAAACCCAAGGACACCTGCACTGAAATCTCCCCCCACTGGAGCTTGTCACCCACCCCTCCCATCTGCTTTTTCCCTTTTGTTGTGAATGTGCAAGTCGTGTTTCACGATGCTGTCTGACACGTCTTTTTTTACATGGTGGAATCATTAGAACCGTCATTTCCATTTTATCCTATAGTGATACGTGTCATTTTTTTCCAGATTTGAAGAATAAGGGTATACTACCGGCATATGGCTATACATAAAGCCTATTTGTTGTAATTTTGTGGCTATGTGTTCCTTTATGTAACCATACACAGTCTTATTTATATGGATCGTTATAGAAATCAGTTCACGAAAAATGTCCTTTTGCTCACTGTAACAAAAACCCTGATTTTCCATTAAGCCTATCTCAGCCTGTCTCACAGATCTCCTTAGTAACAACAAGTGATTCAATCAGGTGGCTGTTTATGTGATCTTCACATAATTGGATGGCTGTCAGGAGAGAACAAAATAGGATATAAGCCAACCTCCATTGCAGGCATCTCAGCAGAGCACCAAGGAATTGGAAGAGTGCATCAGTATTTTAACATCCCAATTGGAACATCTGTTGGTTCCTTATTTCGTGTAGCTTAACAAGCATGACAGTATATATTGAAGATTGAAGATTCAACTTATTGTCATTACGTAGTACAGGTACTATGTAACGAAACAGTTTCTCTGCATTTGACCCATCCTAGTGTTAGGAGCAGTGGGCTGCCATTATGTACAGCGCCTGGGGAGCAGTGTAGGGAACGGTGCCTTGCTCAGGGACACCTCGGTAGCACTTGGTCTTTCCGGGACTTGAACTGGTGACCTTCCAGTTGCCAAGCCAAGTCCCTAAGGACTCCGCCACCATGCACCGCCCACTATATAAAAACAAAACTATAATACATATATATTTGTGTAAAGCATGTTCTATTCGAAAGAGCACTGAGGCATCATTATTCGCATTGGCTTATTTCAGATTGTGGTAATATCACAAATTACAATCATACCTAAAATACAAATAATTGCTTTTTCTTAAGCTGACCACCGATTTCTGTTTTTGCTGTTTACATTTTCTCAGTTGCAAACTTCAGACATCATTTTTGACTTATTAACAGCATTTGACAAAACAATCTCTCTAAGACACATCACTTCATCCTCATCATCTTCATCGGTTCTATCACAAAATGTATTTTGCATTCAGTGTTTATGGATATAGCAATAGCTTATTTTTAATCAAATAAGAACAACCCCCTATCATATGACTGCTTGTATAACACACTTTTGTATAAGCCACCATTTTGATCTCTAGAAACATAAAAATTGCTTGAACATTTCAGCCTTTCTAGCAAACAGACTTCATTACGATGCACAGAAACAAAAATAGTACTACATTGTGCAATCCAATTAGACTGTATCTTACATGGCATACTAATCAATGCTCGTAATTAACCATTTTATTTCAAGTCTTTGCTCTAACCGAGCTATCTAAAAGCTCTTTGATGTGAGTCCCGAGCACCCTGTGTTTTAGATTTAGATTGCACATGAAATGCTGGGAGATGCTTCCCTGTTCTTTTGTTGAATGGACTTTGGTTCAAAGGCAGACCCACGGGCCTGCTGCCTCATTGGATTATTAGACTGTCAATACTGTATGAATGTTCACAGTGGCCTCAGGTGCCCATCCGACTCTTTAACTCTGTGACACTCCCTGATGCCTATAACCCAATAAAATCAAACCCACAATGGATAGGAATAAAAAGCTCTGCAAGCTGAAAGCTCACAACTTGTAGTGAACCTTTTGAATTGAATTCCTTTATTGTCATTGCATATCCACATATCACCAAGCAATTAAAAACGATATATAATGTATCTAAAATGTAATAATTTTATGAAGAAAAATAGATCTAGTGCAGTCTCTGCTTCCTTTATGACCAATAAATTCCTCCTTAGATTTTAAAAGAAATGTTGAAATCAAAAAGTGATCGCCATTATATTCTGGGGGATTCAACTTAATTAGTCAATTTAAGAGACTGATGAATTCACACACATTTCTGTTTTGTCTGTAGCTTCCCCAAACATTTACATTTTTTGACATTTCAGGCCACTTTGAAGCAGAAAAGAAAAGACAGTTCAGCTAGCTAAATTAGCACCTGGCAGTGGCAGGTATGCAGTGCAAAGCAAGTAGTATATAGCAGGCTAAAGAAGACCCAGAAATGCTTTTTATTTGGAGATTGAAAGCAATATATTTTTAATTTAGCGAGTGTTTTCCCCCGCTAGGGAACAGAACTACATACAAGTTGATAAACAACCATAAAAGATCACCAAATACAATATTGAAAATGCATAGGCTGCAGACATGTTGGCAACAATTGTTAGCACCAGCCTGAAAAACCCCTGTGATTATGAAACAATAGCTAGTTGTTAGACTGCTACCATAGATGCTCTTTCTTTTCTCACAAACACTGGTAGCTAGTTACAAATTACCAAATGGCAGAAAAAGTAGCCTAATGCCTGCAGAACATAACGGCTAGCATCTGGCCAGATAAAAAGTTAAGGAATTAAAAAACAGAAGCATTCAACAGTGCCTAAATGCTACATTTACATCTGTCAAGTAGCCAGAAATATGACTCCAAATGTATTATGATTTTGCTCCAGGACTGCTTGATGTTTACAGAAATATAGGCTGTTGCTTGTATCTTACTTATATTACATATTTGCATTATTTGTCCTTTTGCCCAGTAAAGAAAAGAGCATGGCTTCTGTAACAAGCAATTGTGTATTGGACACTAAAATGGATTCCTGCTGAGAAACAGTTATAATATTTCTCCTGCTAAATGCTCTTCCTTTTGAACACTGACAGTCTGCTGTTTGTTGATTCTGTCTGTCAACTTTTTTAAAGCATTGTGCATTGTGCAGGAATCGCAGCCCTCTGCTGGACCAAACAAAATGTGTCTGGGCGAAGCAAAATTCCTGCAGGTTGAATTTGAGTGAATGATTCTTATTCACTTCCACAAACACGAAATACCTTTGTCTCTCAGCATTTATCAGCAATGCAGCTTTTGCTATAAACAGTCAGGAAAATCACTCCATACCCAGATAACAACACCCAGCAGCATTGTTAGGTGAGAAGGAGCCTTGTCTGTATCTAATTATTGTAAATTATTGCTAGACCAAGCATATGGCATACACACACACACACACACACGCACATATAGAGTCCAAATATTAAAACTAACATAGAAAATAAGCCAATTAAAACTGATAATGTCGCAAAAAATCTGTGTTGGCGAAAAATAAATTCAGAGAAGTTGTTTGTCATCACAGCGAACGATCACCATCATCATTTTGTGCTCACACATACTAATATATTTCTCTATACTTGAACTTACTGAAGAAAATGAGATGAAATATAAACAAGTGTTATTTATTGTAAATATATAAATTAAATTCCTAATATTTGGTGTCGTTAATCCCTGCACTACAGGCACCTTAATGCATAGATGCATTCTGTGTTGGTATACTGTGGGACCAGGCATATACAAGCTGCTTAACTAATATACCAGCTCTGTAAGAAGATTCATCTTTTTGTAAACTCTCATGGAAACGCATTCAGCAATTCTTAGTTATTCTTAAGCATTAAGACGATTAGAGCCATTCAAGTGGTCTCAGAGTTGCCAGTTAATGTTTCTGAAAATCATGCACCATTTTGGCACATTTATAAAGCATCCTTTGATATTTTGAAGGTATTTCTACGATACACAAAACTTGTATCATTCAGCTAGAAGGATATACACTCATTAAATGAAATTGTGTTTATTTTGAACCGTATCATTTAGAAGGCTGTTTCAGATTTCATATACTTTAGTTTCACTTTAGCAGTGATTCTAGAGTAGTGTTCTCTCTCATAATGAGTTAACTACCTTGTGGTAGCAGAAATAAGACCTTTGCTTAATCGCCTCATCAGTGCAGCTCAGGAAATAGTCTAAGAAATGCTTCCACCTCTCTCATCCACAGCCCAATAGAGGATGAATACGTATGTCCGGTTTAAAGCAATGTGTTAACTTAACCTCCTTTGTAGAAATGGAGGGGAGAACGCACTTTATTTATTGTATAGTTGAAATTTACTGACTTTTCTTAACGTTATAGTTTATGTATTGCAACAGGTCTTTAAGCGTGATACATGTTGTTATGTTTGAACTAAAACAAATGCAAACACACACACACACGCACGCACACACACACACACACGTGACAAAGCATGGTTGTAGTGGGCAAAGAGAAATCTCTGCAAACAAACAGATGACAAAAAGATTGAGAGCGACCATCACAGCACTGCTCTCCAAAGGGAGCCTTCCATTTTATTGCACAATAGCAGTTGTCTCCGAAGCCCAAACAGTTTAGAAGTAATTACTAGTGTTTTCCCCAGAAGGTGATTACTTCGCCACACTTGGCAGCCATTGTCACCGGCCGGGCACCACACTCATCAGTCCTACAAAG